TGGAAGTTTTCCTGGGTGTAGTTGTTCTCAGGTTTTGTTACTTTCTGTTTTATTTTGTCCCCCTGTCTTGTTAGATTCTGTTCAGCTGTGTCTCATTTTCCCCAGTGTGTCCTTTCTTTCTAACTACCTCATGTGTCTATTTAAGGCCTCAGTTTTCCAAAGGTCTTTGTTTTTCTTCATGGTGCACCCCTCTGGGGGTGTTTCTTTTGGCTCAAAAGATGCATGTCTGGCTCAGTTTTGCTTTGTATTTTCTGTGAGTTCTAGCAATTAAGCTATCCTTTCCTGTCTGCTACATAGCGTATCATGACAAAAATCTCTTATTTTACTTTTGCTAAGGTCTAAGGTTTGAGCTAACAGGTGCGGTTGTTTAATTTAGCTAATTGAAGTCACTGTACTGTATTAATGCTGTTTGTTTGGCAAATACTGCTTGCTGGAGTTTTAATGAGTGAATTTTCTGGATGTTATTTCTGTTACGTAGCATTAATGTGCCAGTGTCTGTCTGTATGATGCAAGTGTTCAGTTGATAGATATTGCTAACCAACCTTGCTAATATTCCAGACTGATTTGAGGCAAACTGGTTCACAGGTTCAACATTTTAGCCCTATAGTTTTAGGCAGGACTCAGACATGCTTTAGAAGTTATCAGTAAAATCTGAAAATCGTTTCTGAAAACCTACAGGAAATGTGTGGCATGAACTGCAGTATTGTAACCTCAAGAAAATAAAAGCTGACTCTTTTCACCTTGGTGGGTTAAAGCAACTTATCGATAATGTTTTTTAATTGGAGGAAGGAAGACAGAGCAGCTCCTTTCAGGTCAAATGAAACTATTAAAAAAATTGTTATTTAACTTTATGCTATCAAACTAGTGGACAAGGGTGGTCTTAATGGGACAGATCAAAGTGACATCTGATATAACCTCTAAATGCCTCAGACAGCATTTCACAATTTCTTTTCACTATTTCAGCAGGTGATAATCCAGGGACAAGCTAAAACAAAAGGATCCCTTTGTCCTCTGAATAGCAGGGAATGCGATGGGATGTTAGATCAATTTCCAAAGACAACTAGTGTCAAGAGAAATCAAAATAATCAATCAAAAATTGAACCTTGGGGTACACCACAGATTTCAGATAATGATGAAAATTAAAACCAACTCAGTGTGGCAAAGTTAATGCAAACCTGTGCTTCAAGAAGGGCTATCAAAATAGCATCATCAACACATGTTAAAAACCAAAAAGTTTAACTTTGATGCAGAGAAAGCACAGAACGTGGTGATATAAAGTGGAACTTCTTCCACTTCTTGTTTCTCTGTAGATGTGTTTTGCTTATTTGTATTTTCCCCACCTAAAGTCAGCAGTCTCATAGAACTCTATCAAAACTAACAGCCGTCCTCATCCAGCTAGAGAGAAATAACAAACTGGATCTGCCTTCTTCAAAAGACTGGTTAAATATTGTTGGAGAAATCTATGCAATGGAAAAAATGACTTACATTTTCAGATTAAAGGAAGATATTTTTGTTGCTAAGTGGGAAAAGTGGACATTTTATGGCACCAAGAAAAAGAACAAAACATTTAAGGTCTATAACTCTGTATATCTATTGATGCATGCCCGTATAAAAGTACGTATATAAGCTGGAGTATGTATGCTGCGGAGTAAAGGCAGGCATGCATACGGTAGTTGATTAGAATTGGCACCCACACCTTTTGTTTGCTTTAGTTCTGTTTGTTTTGACTGTGTGCTTGCATGGTTATTTCTCCTGTAATGCAATACATGTTTATGTTTAAACTGTGACAAAACTATCAATAAAAATTACAGTGTCAAAAAAAAAAATTGCTGTGTCCCTGTCAGCTGAATGACTGATCTGCTTGGCCTAATGAGGAATTTAAAATTCAGCTCCACGATTACACATAAAGAATAATTGTGATTAGTGTGACAAAGTACTATTGCGTCCCCTCCCCTGCCACCCGATGGATGATGTGGTTTCTCATTAAGTAACAAAGAGACTGGAGCCACTAATGCCAGCAAAAGAAAATGATGTGGTTATTAAATGATTTATGTTTGCATTCAGTGCGAAAATATGAAGTGTGATCAATGGTTAATGCAGTAATGATTTTTAGTCTTTGCACAGTGGCAGGACCTTGATGTCTAATTTGAAATTGTGTTTTCATAGAAATAGTTAAATAGTTTTTTTTTAGTATTCTGTTCATTTTGCAGAATAATACAAAATCATTTCAGGGCTGAATCCTTCAGTCCCTCGCATCCACTGTTGGACTTCCTCCTCACGGCCACAGGTTGGACTAAACTGCTTCTACTGCACAGGGAAGCAATACACCATTGGAGGTGTACTCTTCAGACCTGCTGCAAAGTGCTTCACCTGTGTTTGTATGAGTTTGATGAAGACTAACAGGGTCGGGGGTACCGCTTACCTTCAGCAATGAGCCCATTTTTTTCAGCATTGTTTGCTTCAGTAGAGGGAGACTCTTTACAGGCACCGCACGGAGGAATGCGTCATTGTGCTTGCATTAGCTCTGTTTCCAGCTGTTTTATGACCATTTTCAAATAGAATATGAAAGACGTTTTAATGCTTTGCTGATGTGGAAAAGCTGGAATATCTTGATAAGCATAAAAACAAAAGTTACAAGATTTGTGTTGAGCACATGTTTTCTTTAAGTGATCTCTTCTTGTGGAAGGTTTTAATGTCACACAAGGAGCATCATCAACAGTTTATCTGATGCACATATGAAAGTAGTGGATAGAGAATATAAATACATTTAAATGAAAAAGCATTGTGTTTATTGTCCTTTTTCTTTAGCCTTCATTACATGTTTAGCTACAACACTCTGATTAAACATACCAAGGAAAGAAATACACTCTTTGTTGAACATATTTTAACATTTTAACTGTCTCTGATGGGTGTGGTGTTAATGCTCCTATGTGTTTGTTGCTTGTGTTTGCTTTTGATTGTGATGCACTCTTTGTCTTTAAGTGTCAAGTTCTTTGTGTGTCTCTATTCTGTCATTTTGCCTATGTTAAGTGTTTTCATGTGTCTGCACTGTCCTGGTTAGTTATAGTTCCTCACCTCCTGTTTTGTTTTGGTAGTCTTTTGAGCTCCTGTGTGGATTTTCTTTAGCTGATTGTTCACTCAGTACTGTGAGTTCATATTTGTCTTCATTCATAGATGATTTGTAACTCTGAGCCTAGGTGTTGTAGCACTAACGGGTCTAATCTTGTTGCCCTTATTGGAACACAGTTTTACTCTTGATTTTGGTGTTGCATTCTAAAACAGATTGTTAGTAATTGTAAAGTGTGCCTGATATGAGACCTGACCATCCTCAGCATTATAATGATGAGGTCTAACAATATTGCAGTGGCTAATCTTAATTATCACTATGAGTTCTTTCTGATGAATATGTTCTCATCAAAGAGGTTGAAGAGGTAAATACTGATGTGTAGAAAGTGTGAAATGTAAAAAAATAAAGTATATATATCTATATCTCAATATATCTATCTGAGGGTTGTAAATATTTAGACGTAAACAGTAGGTCAAATTATATTATTTGCATCTTAGACTGATAAGAGTTCATTTCATTGTTCAGATGAGGTGCATCTCTCTTAACGTTATTATCTTCCAGTTTCACTGGGATGTTAATCTGTCTGTGCAGTGCAATCATCAAATGCATGACAGCGGCAGATAGGAAGTTGAAACTACTTTTAAAAACAGGTAGAAATGACCGAGGGGCAAAGTGAGTGGATGAGCTTCAGTCAGTGTGAGAGTGGCAGGAATCAGAAGTGAGTGGAGAAAAAGGGCAGGAGAAAAGTCAAGAAACAGGCAGGGAGGCAAAACCTGGCAGCTGATCAGAGAGGAAAGGACACCGAAGCTGCAGCAGGTATATGATAACAGAGAGCCAGGAGTATGTGATTATCATTGAGATAATGTTGTCAGACACCAGAAGCCAATGAAAACGCCTGCAGATGTCTCACATTGTCCTTTGGAAGTTGGATAAAATGAACACCAACTTGAAACATTTGACATCATTCCTCCAACCAGCAGCTACACAGCAAACAGAGTTAACCCCTGAATTATTTAGTTGATGTTTACAGTCATTTAAATAAATTCCCACCCTTCAAACAAGCCTTAAAGTATGAATATTTTAGCTGTTATGACTACAAAAGCAAATCTCCATGTTTCTTCATCCCTGTGTGCAGAGACTGAGACATACAGCTATGTGAAAACAGTTTTCAGTTTCTTTGTCTCTGTGTAGACAAAGACACCCTTACTGTAAGGAGGGAGCAAATACCTGTAAATGCATTTGGTTAGTTGATCCTTAACAGGCATAAGTAAAACTGTAAATGTTTTTGCAGTTTGCTGATCTGGAGTGTTTAGGTGTGTTTTAACATAATGCCGCAGAAAAGTGAGCTTGAATTCGTCCACAGTGATGTGATGGACTGAAAACAAATCTAAAAGTTATTGATGCTAAACATAAATCTACAAATGACTGAAAAATGTTGTGTTCTGCAGTCTTGAGACTGAAGAAGTCACTTGGATGAGAGACAAAATGTTTCTCCCGCTGAAAATGCTACGTCCAGATGAACAGAATCAACTTTGTGCGATTTCCTTAGCTGGATGGCTGGGCATGTTACAATTACATGGACAATTACTGCATCATTGGAATGAGGGGAGTTTGGAAGGTGTGAGGAATCAGGTAGCTGAAAATGGGAAGAATGAAAAGACTGGAGAGGAGCAGTGAGGGAGCGAGCTACTTGTGGAGAAAGTTTAAGACTTTAAGTTTGCTGCTGTTACCCTGATGTTTCATCAGTGTCCACAATGAAGAGCAGCTTGTGCCCGTTTTAAAGTGTAAACTGGGCTGTAAATGTTTTTCTTTCACATAAGATTTTAAATAAGTTAACTGTTTTTGTTACCTGGGTACATGTAAAGTGTTTTATCATGTTCTTATTGTTTTATTCCATAAACGTTTTACTGACATTTCCCCCCATCCCTTGCAGGTATAAGGCCATAGTAAACCCCATGGACATCCAGACATCCAGCGCTGTCTTCTGGACGTGTCTGAAAGCTGTTTCTATCTGGCTGCTTTCCGTCCTGCTGGCTGTTCCTGAGGCTATTTTCTCCCAAGTCGTCTCCATGCAGGTACCATAACGTACATCCACTCCTGCAAACAGTACTAGTATTATAAGTTTCAAGTTTTATTGTCATATACAGACAAACAGTGTAGCCACATTTACCCATAATGAAATTCTTTGGCTCATTCTCCTCAGCTTTACATGAACAAGGCAACAACAACTACAACTACAGCAACAAATAACGAAATACTAAACTATAAAATATTAAGAGAATTTAAGACAGTTATTTGGTATTTACATTTTGTGCAAAAAAACTTGCGCAGTGAGGATTTTAAAGTGGTTAAAGTGACAGTGTGTGTAGAGTCCAGTAGTTGTAGTGAGTGTGTAATAGTGTGTGCAGAATGTCAGCAGTCCAATAGCCTGATGGCTTGTGGGTAGAAACTATCTCTGTGTCTGCTAGTGCGGGTCTGAATGCTCCTGAACCACCACCTATCATCATCAATTTCAGGAGCGGGACCACGCCTCATTCACGCCCCTTCCGGCCTCAGGCTATATATATATTCATGCCCCCCCCTTTTTGTCCCTTCTCTTCTCATTTTCCTTCTTTCACTTCTCGTTAATACATAGAGTTTGACAGACCACGTGACTTTCGCGCATTGCATGTCGGAAACTCGTGGCAAAACAATCCAAGTACCGCATCAAACGCAAGCATTTGCAGCACCGCAAAACGTTCACTCTCCGGTTCCAATACCTTCTTGCTTTTTCTTTGTGCCCCAAAAAAGTTATGTACACAACAAAGGAGAACAATGCCGGTCCGTACAAAGACAGACTTTATGAAAAGTCAAAGAAAAGATACGAGGAAAAAATCAATCGAGTGAAAGGGTTAGACCCGTACGAGCACACAGAGTGGACAAAATACGTTAGCGTGCTGCCCAACTTTCACCATGCTCAGATTTATAATTATACAGTTCTTGGAGTGAGTGCATACACTCATGAAGTTTAGTTACGTCAGGTCACGCAACAAGCCCAGGTACAGTTTACCGACGGATGGGTACAGGAGCTTGAAATGCACCGTGTAGAACGAAAGACCATCGTACATATCATAAGTTTACCAGTCTCACAAATCGTCGTCATAAATACACATTCGTTAACCGTTTATTAATAGGACCTTTGAGCTCAATGGTAATTAATTAGTAGTGGAAATAATTTCTGGTACGTGTTACAGAAATGTAGCAGTGACAATAATATTGTGTGCTGTAATCGCACTGGGCAATTAGTGATACAAAACAACTATTTTATCCTGTGAATAAAAGTATATGTTTTTGTCAATGTACCATGGTGATAACAGAAGCGAAACGCAATATTGTGTCAGGACAATTCACTATTTATGCACAATAAACAAAGGATCATAGCGTGACAATTTCTGTTCAGCGCCAGACTTGCTTGTAACCTATATCACCAATTATGTTAAGAAAAATGATGTATTAACTACTACAAAACTAGGACCTTTGTGTAAATGCTTGGAGCAGACTAACCTGTGAGCTGGAGTGTTCTGAGACGTTATATTTGGTCTTTGAATGGCTGCAATCCAGGCCATCCGTCGCTTCTTCGGAAACATGGCTCAAACAATTTCTCTTCAACGACGTAATCCGATAACAACTGATCTCTTTACCCGTCGGCTTCCAGTGGCTGTCATGCAACCGGCTATTGCAGTTAATAATACAACAGCTTCTTGACATTTTTGTGTTTCTTTTTATCGCTGTGTAACTGAGTTCAATTGAAAGCCTGCGTGCGCTAGTACCTCTTGCCACGAGTTCCCAGAATCCTTTGCGGTTTTACCCCTGAATGACGTCACATTCTCAATCTCTATGGGGATCTGCCCGGCCCGGGAGCCGCTGCCAGTCCCCTTCGAGGCCTTCCCCAAACCGCAGCACCAGTTCATAGTTCATCGCTTATCGTTACTGAGGATGTGGTCCCAGCTAGTGAAGTACTAGTACATGTATTAGAAAATTCTGCACTGGCCTCAGCATCAGACCCTCTGGAGAGAAATGTGCAATGTCATTGGAGGGTAAAACGCTGCAGAATAATGTGGTAAACGTTTCACTTTACAGTCCATGTTCCCCTCCTTTACCCGAACACGTCTTCACACTCCCCTCTTGCCCCAGTGGCCACAGGCTGGGCATCGATCTGCTGCGTTTTCGTGCTGGGATGGTGGATGACGAGAGCTGATGAAATGTCTCTGCTCGCTGATGTAAGAAACGTATTAGGGCAATCTCACGCAGGGTGACACAAAACAACCAGGATCGTTGTTTCTGAGCGATTTATAGAATATTAACGTGCTGCGTTTCCTCTGTCATAGGAAACATTTAGTTTGTGTACCTGCTGCGTCCACGCTGTTGGAAACGAGTTTCTGCTTTTCATTCTGCCCCCTCCCATCCTGTATTTGTTATTTGTTTCCTTCTTGCTTCATTTCTCTTCACTGATTTTCTTTCTCTGTTTATCTGTTCCCTTTTTATTTCTCCTCCCTCGTCTTCATCACACTGAATACTTTTCTACATAATCTCCTCCTCTCCATCTCCTTGTTTCATTTCCTCATTCTTCCTTCAGCACTTCTTGGACATATTATTCATCTTAATGTGTCTAAGAACAAAAACACTTTCTGTTTTATTTCCTTTCCACTCCTCTCTTTTCCTTGCCGTCTCCTTCTTGTCCTCTCTCCTTTCCTAATTTCCTCTCCTTGTTTCCTCTCAGGGTCACAGGGACAACACAAATGTCACCTTTGTGAACTGCGTGCCCTACCCGCTGTCCAATCAGATGCATCCTAAGATCCACTCAGTGATGATCTTCCTGGTTTACTTCCTCATCCCTCTGGCCATCATCTCTGTGTACTACTACCACATTGCCCGCACGCTCATCAAGAGTGCCCATGACATGCCGGGGGAAGTCAGCGAGCACACCAAGAGACAGGTGACTGCTGGATGATGAGTAAATGAGTGAATGAGTGTCACGTTGTGCCATGGAGAATTTCTCTGGACCACAAAGAAAACATAAAGCTGTGAAGTCACGCAGGAGCAAAGTGAGTTAATAGCCTCCTGTGATTTGTGAATCTTGGGGGAGATAAAGCTTCTGTAGTTATGTTTAGGTGAGATCGACTCGGACGTGATGCTTTTTGCACCCACACCTCCCGTTCTCGGCAGCTTTGGAGGCCTCGGTAAACAGCTTGGTCACGAGGGAGGCTCGGCGCAGGGCCTGCGCCAGCCGAAATGAGTTATCACTTTACACAAGCTTGATCTTCACAGATGGAGGAGAGGTCAGGCGGAGGGGAAGGCTGAATTATTAAAGCCCAACCAGCAGCAGGTCAGATCAGGTGTACACACTCGGTGAAGGAGTGGCAGAGCTGGGAGTCCCTGCTGTGTCTCCAGAGCATATGCTGACAATAATCAGTGCTGATGGAAAGTCCAGTTTAATGTTCTTCATCACTCTGATGCAATCAGAGTCTGGTCATACTCACCACTCTTTCTCTTGAAAAGAAAAGTTTTTACTTCCTGTCTTTCCAGCCATCAGTCAGAACCGACACTTCCTGGAGGTTTTCCACATTAAAAGCCTGATTCTATGCGCCATCTGTAAGTCTTTTATTTTCCGTGAACTGTCTGTGCTGAGTGCAGTCAGTCACACCGTGAGTAGAGCTGTTAGCATTGCAGAACCACTGACAGAGCTGACAGAGCCTGAGACAAGGTTTGTTTTGTTCTTTGGAGATTTGACTGGACAAAAACATTCAGATCAAACTCCGGCAGCTCTGACGCGCTTAATGTTGACTTTTTCTCTTCTCAGTAAGACTTTACCTGGAGTCACTGTGAAGGTTTCACTCATTTCAAGTGACAGAAATGGACGTTTCAAAGAAACTACATCAGACTAAACACACAAACTGGAGTTTATAAAGGTATAATGTGGGACAGAAATGTGTGTATCTCATGCATACTTCAGACTACATGCTGCTTTCACTCAGTTTGTGTTTCTGTAATCAGAGTTTCTCAATGTCTCAGATCTCTCTCGACTTTGCATTTTTCTAATCACATTTAACTTCCGCTCAACTTGATTCGCCTCACTCTGGATCTGAACTGTGGTTGTTAAAACTTAGCCTGAGACGTGACAGTGACTGGCCTCAGACTTGGTCTGAGATCCCACTGAGCTCAGACTAATGACTTTGTCTCTGGGAGCAATGCGTGTTCAGCAGGATTGGTGTTGCAAGCTGATATAAAGGCTAAGAAGTTGTGCTCCCTCTGCTCATTTTTGTTTGTAGTCATACTATAAATCTAGTTTCATAAAAAGGAAAAACAAATAAGTAAATAAATCAACACAAAATTATAGCCAGTGATTTTTAGTTTGAGAGGAGTAATGA